ACTTATCCAGTCTCAATAAGGCCTCAAAAAACATGGCGGGCCTATCACCGATCTGTGCCGCAACAACTAGCTGAACTACCCCAACTGGTGGGGCTGCTGGAGCCTGATTCTAGGGAGCCATCTGCTCCGGAGCGGGAGTAGTGGGAGTTTGTGCTCCTCCCCTAGCCTGTGAGATGGCTGGTGCCACTGGAAATGTACCATTTTGAGCCACGCCCTCCATAAGACTCACCAAACAGAAAAAAGCTTAAAATTAGAATATTTGGCTTTTTTTTAAAAATGTTTTGTCAGTTTAGCAATTGAATTATATTCTGATCTACCATTTATTTTCTTTAGAAATATTTATATATGGGTGCCCTGGGTTTTCGTTCAGTGGTAAGGAAGTACAACGCATGATGTGTGAGTCCGGCGCATGTCACGAGTTCGAACCCTGTCGCTAAGGAGCCCAGGTACTTAAGTGGCAGCAAGGTAGAGGGGCGAGCCCATGTTCCTTCAAGTGATCAAAATAATATTTATTTATGTGCTTTAAGGTAAACAGTGAAAATGGTTATCATGGGAAAAGGTTGTCAACTTGATGTTAATCCAGATATAGCTTGGAATATCAAGAAAATAGTTCTCAAATATAGCATTTGCTCTTCCTCTGCAACAACAACAACAACAATCCAGTGTAATCCCTCTGCACCGCACGTAATGAGTGTATATCTGCATAAAAAAGGTGTGCAATGTTCATTTCCCCTACCCTCTTCTCCCTACTGTGAAGCCTTTAAGCCACTCGTTTTGTACTGCTTTTTCCCCGTAACAAGAATGAACAGAAAGGACCATCCAAACAAGCCCTCTTTGAGATGGGGAAAATCTTGCTGTTCGCCATTTATTGGCACTGCAAATCTAACCATTGTGATACAAAACATAATCCCATTTATCCATTTGCTTCCAAACCCCATTTCTTTTAGTATGTTGATAAGGAACCTCAGTTCACATGGTCATATATATGCTTTCAAAATAGCAGCTGTTTCCTTGTCTCTTCCTTGAGTCAAGACGCTTATTAGCAATCAGAACAGCGTCTGCGGTTTGTATCCCTTTAGTAAAAGCTAATTGAGTCTTTGTAACTAACTTGCTGACCACTGTTGTCATCCTTTCTGTTTATACTTTGGCTATTATCTTGTAAACACTCCCGATCAAACTAATGGGTCTGAAATTCATTTAGCTCTTTTGCTCCGTATTTTTGGGGATCAACGTTAAGATGTACCGGTATTCAGTGGCGGAGCCACAGTCAACCAAGGGGTGTCACACACCCCTTTGCCGGAAAATTGTATAGTATTGCTAGATAAAAAATTTTGTTTTATGTCTATTTACTATAGGTTGACTCTCCTTGCTTGATATATTTAATATTTTATATTTTGACACCCCTTAGTGAAAATCCTGGCTCCGCCGCTGCCGGTATTTGCTAGTGTAATTAGTGTTTTGATTGGTGTTACGTGATATTGGATAATACTTGCTTCAGGAATTCTTCATCTTTGAAGCACTTGAAGAATTTCGAGTGAAATCGTCGAAGACTTTCTTCAGGAATTCTTGATCTCTGAAATACTTGTGATGTCAATTTTATTCCCTTGCTTCCCCTCTTACTCCCACACGATTCATCCGTTTCCTTTTGAAATCGTTCGTCATGAATTAGTGACTTCTCAATATAAATTATTCTAAAATATAGTTAGTCTTAGATATGTGAACGCTCATCTGCATGCGCACAAAGGGATCCCTAATCTTTTGCTTTAAATACATTTATATCAAGTAGTCCTTTGCTGAGAAGCCCTTGTTATTTCAGGTGGCAATTCCGGTGGTTCCAACAATTAGAGTTTTGGTTACTTTCACTAAGTTTGAAGAATTACAGCCACTGGACGAGTTCTTAACTCCTCCTTCGAGTCCTACTCCTTCAGGCAAAGAGAGTCCACCCGAGGTGCAGCCCTCAAGTTCATCTTGGTTTCAGTGGATAAAAGCCCCTTATCAACGGCCTAGTTCGTCTACTGGCAGTTCAAGTAGTTTGACAAACGACGTTCAAGTTCCATTTGCAATCCCTCGAGATTACACATGGATCACAGCAGAAGCTAAGAAAAAGAAAATGCAGGAAAAGGAGAAGGCAAGAAAAGGGAAGAGTAGGAAACAGTAGGCGAAGAAGTCGGCTAGCTAAGTGGATTTTTTTTCTTAAAGCAGATCATGGACTACCAAAGGAGATAGTTGCTTTCTTAATTGACTGATCTTATTGGGGGGGCTATGTTTATAATATCTTGGCAATTTAGTAAATCATTGTGGGGTATAAGGTAGGCGTAAGGTCTGCATACAACTACCTTCTCCAGACCCCACATGTGGGGTTATACTGGGTTGTTTGTTGTTGTTGTTGTTGTTATATTGTGGGGGGTATAAAAGCTCAAAATATAAGATTTTTTCAAATGTTTGTAATTAAAATGCAGCAATTGGTTTGATTTCCCCGTGTATATATATATATATATA